GCCAGCACTAGCTTAATCACAGCATCATAAATCCAGCTACAATAGCTTGATGATCTGATCCTTTTACTATGTTAATTTTAGTAACTCGTAGTCTCTTTGTGTGGGAATCCTCCTAAGCATATAAAAAATGGCTTGCTGTACCTGTGTTTTGGTTTAGCTGAGAGAGGAACCACTGAAAGCATCTGGGACCAGAAAGTATGCCTTTAATGGTCTCTTGTGAACATTCTTCAGATAACTCTGCCTGTGTTGCTACAAGGGCCAGGCTTCTATAAAGACAAGTAACTAACATTGAGGCTTTTTGCTTCTTACAGGCAATCATCAATTCCATCTGGTTTGGCTATGATGTGAAGAAAGCCGTGGAAGAGCCAAGAATTCATGATCAGCTGTTTCCCAGTATCACAGAGCTTGAGCAGGAAATAGAGGAGGTTTGTCTAGCTGGAGCCTGGGGTGTGTGAACTTGTATGGGCTGGGTTCCTAGTTTTTGGAAGACAGGCTTGTGGAAAATCACAAAGCTTTGCCAAATGCTCCTAGGTGAGCAGTACTGAAGCTGATAGGTTAAGTATTGTTCAGAGTGTAATCTGAACAGTTTAATCTCAGTTAAAAAAAATCTGGTTTAATCTCAGTCCCATGGGTTTGAAGGGGTGCATTCAAACATGACCTACATCTGAAACTGAGGGTATGTATTTTTTTGCATTGTTGTTTGCCTCACAAAACTTGCAAAACACAAAACCACATCAGGGCCCCAACCATTCAGCAGTCTAAATCCAGTGACCCTCAGGAAAAGCTTGTCCTATTGCACAACCTCCCAGTTGTGCTGGCACAGAGTGCAGGAGGATGCATAGAGGGACACGAGAACAAACCTGGAAATCTTTTCCCAGCAAAGGTGACTGCGCAGCACTGTTGGTGTGAGAGCCAATGGCAACATCTGCCTAGCCCTGCATATCACTCACCTGAGCTGGCAGCTTCCTTCACCCTGAGGAATTACATGTCCCAGAGGCCTGAGACCGATGAAGTCTTTGTATATCTCTCATCTCATGCCTCTATATTAGAAAAAACACTCCTACATAAGGCAGTTTTCTTCATCAAACTATGCAGAAGATCCTCCTTTAATAAGCATCTTACTAAGGTAACAGCTGCCTGCACTGGGGAGGATGCCCTGCTCTATACAAGTCCTACGTTTTCCCCATTCCCAAACAGGATCCATCAGCTTTGGCTGTTTGCATATGAATATCAGAGGCTCCATGACCAGGAACAGTATTGGTCGCTCACACTAAGCACCACAAATGCCACATCTTCCCAATTCTACCTCCTCAAAAGCAGGGCATGCCAGTGAAGAGGAGGAGCAGCATGTAGTTTTAGATCCACCTAGTAGTCACAGAGGATGCAGGTTGCAGCACATGTGCAGCTCGCCTCCCGTTGTCCTCATTCACTTCTGCATTCCAGGGTATAGAAGAAGAACTAAGGAAGAGGAAACACAACACCACGCGGGTGAGCGGTGGTGCAGTTGTGCAAGCCATTCTCAGAACAGATGAAGGATGGGCTGCAGCCTCTGATTCCCGGAAAGGTGGCTTCCCTGCAGGCTACTGATGTGGCTCGGCTCCTTTTTTCGGTGGTCTGGTGACACTGAGGTGTGTTTGGGGGGAAGATCCTTTAGGTCTGCAACTCAGGGACTTCTCACAGGAAAGAACAAATTTACCTGTGGTTCTATTGACAGAGCTGGGACAGTTCTCTACAGCCATGACTGAAGTGCCTCATGCCACAGCAGTCTGCTGAGACAGGCATGTCATATCAGGGCGTGCAGTACTTACTTCAAAAGACTTTCACCTTGAAGAGTTTGCTCCCTGTCTCCTCTTCAGCGCATGAACTGGGTACCCAGAGTTTCTGAATAAGCTCATTCGAGCTGCAGGAAGTGTTTCCCCTGCACAGCGTCAGCTACCAGGAATGTCCCTGTCACTGCTAGAGAAGAGTTGTTTTCTGTTGAGTAGGTGGGAGTTACAGGACTCTGGGGACTGGAGTTTTTTAAGTTACAGACTAGTAGGTCTATGCCTTAGCAGGAAGCCCAGCTCTAGACTGGGAGAAGCCTTCACAATCTCACTGCTCTTTCTTTTAACTACAGATGTTTCTGCTTTTCACTTCAGTTGGTTATTGGAGGCGAGTGTGTAAGTGGGGAAATGGCTTCAAACTTTTTTATATTTCTGTTGAGAAGGTCTAAAGGGAAAATGCTACCTGTAAAACTCTGAGCACAACTAAATAAATGAACATGGAGTCACACATTTTTCTTGCCTGCGCAGTTGCTCCTGTGAGCAAGGATGGCGAGGGCCTGTGTGAAAGAAGCTCTCCTGAGGTATTTCTCTTTTCTTCACGCCTCTGATGAAAGGAGGAGTTAAAAAAAGTTAAATCTCCAAAACAAGGCTGCTTTTCTCCAGTTTGCTTCTTACCACATCAAACTGCAGGCCTGAAATACCAGAGTCTGAGGAAATGAAGCCTCTAGAGAAGGGCACCCCGCAGCTACTCTTGTTAGAAGGTAAGTTACCATTAATCAGACGGTGAATGACCTCCCAGAAATCCGTATCTGATCTGGAACAGCTAACAGTGTTTGTAACTATGCACGAGGAGGTTTTGGTGTTCACCTACCAGCATGGACTAATACTCAGCCTAAAAAAAAGCCAACGATTCCAGCATGTCGTCAAGCTCTAGGGATGTTTGTAAGTAGCAGTAACTGAACTCAGCTATTTGGCTTGTTGGAACTTCCCATCAGTTTGGAAAAACCTTAAAATACAGAATGCACTGCAGAGAAAATGAAAGGCTGAGATTTTAGGAATCAGGCCTCTCTTTCCTGACAGTTTCTGGAACAGAGGAGAGTCTACTTTTAAGGAATGAACTATATCATGCTTAAGGAGTCATAACTTTAACATGTATATTTGCTTCTATCACTTCCACTAAATGAGAGGCTTTTACCACAGGTTGCCTGGGATGTGCTCTGTGCTCCTTTTTGCTAAGCTGTTACTGATGACAGTGTGTTAGATGCAGCAAAGGCAGTGGTGGTAAATAACCCAAAGTCATTGTGTTCCTTTATGAATGAGAGTGGTCTGGGGACAAACCTGTATCCTTTTGTCACTGAACTGAGCGCACCGAGTCTCCAGAATGAGCAAGTGTTAGTTCTGGAAACACCTGCATCACAGTCCTCTCTCAAAAGCAGCCCTCTGCTTGGGTGTCAGGGTAGGCAGCAGTTTAAGAAGAAATTCCCAGACTGGTTTAAAACACTTTATTAAAAATATAACTTAAAGACTTCACCAGAAAATAGAGCAGCTTTTGTACAGCGATGCTTTAACAATCTGTGTAAGATGAGTACAAAAATAATTCTCTCCTGTTGGCATGAGCATGAATGGGGAGAGACCAGAGTCGGGGGCTCCTTACTCAAGCCGATCTCAGTCAGCGGTGAGGAGGTGGCAGAATGAGAGCAGAGATCCTACAGGAGCTGTTTGCTAGTGAGGACTACAGGACTGCTGCAGTGGGAGATCTGCGCTCTCATTCCTTTCCGTCTTGCAAATGAAAGCTCTGGTGGGTTTTATAAACTGCTTAATTGGCTCAGTTTCAGTGTTAGTAGCAAAGTTGTTAAATGGCAGTGAGCTCTGGACTACAGATAATATTGCCACACTTTCTTGGTGGGAAGCAGCTGTGATATTGCTGTACTGTGGCAAGGTGATGGGCTGGATTACAGAAGTAATCAGAAGTGAATGCAATTGGAGGCTTAGTTACCTGGTGACTTGCTTTTTTCTGCTACCCAGACATGATGGAGCGTGGCCTAAGGCTGCCCAAAGCTTAAAAGGGAAGGGAGAGCTGCTCTGCCTGTCTGCAGCCAGTGCCGTTCTCGGTTGGTTTTTGTTAACTCTAGCTCAGTTGGGCTGGCCAGAAACAACTTCAGTTCTGGCTAAAGCCAGCGTCTGGTCTAGTTAGTCTGTGTGGTTCTGAAATGTGAGCTGCAGATGGTGTCTGGTGCCCATAGGTGCACCCCATAGGGGGTTATTTCTGACACTAGAACCAATGTACCCAGGAACTGGCAACTGAAGTGAAGGAGGGGGTTAATGACAACAGCGAATTATGTAGATTGAAGATGACTGCCAAAAACCCCCAAAGGAATCCCTTTCAAACGAATATAAACTGCCCCCCCCCCCCCCCAAACTTCAGGCTGATTCCCTGGCCTTAGTCACATTCAGACACATTTGAATGTTTACTAACAGGGTGCTGTGCCACTTCTGCTTGAGTGAGCACCCCTAATGGAGAAACCTGTAGTCCTTCCTGAACTAGGGGATTTAAGATATATTCCACTAGGATGAGGAAGGATGGGGCAGTGCATGGAGCTGGCTCTCCACATAACAAACTTGTCTTTCATATGCATGATGAAGTGCTTGCGGCTATGATCTGGCAGCTCAGAATTCCCTCTCATTAAGCTCATACATCAGAATCCCTTCTTATACAAGCTGCAGTCATGCTATAGTCCTTAGTGTACAACTTCTGAAGGAAAACATGTGTCTGGCTCTAGTCAGCTTGACTCAGCACATCATTAAAGAGCAAGTGAAGGCTGAGATTCCAACAAGTCAATGGGTTTATTGGACAGACTGTGGCTAAGAATGTAGACTTCAAACCTATCTGGCCTTGTTTGCAAGTGGGTTTGTGCGTGGCCTTGTTTGGTTTTTAAGAGTATGTGCACAAGTACTTGTTATGGTGTTTACAAAGGGATTTTGTTTGCTTGGGTACTAGGAATATCATGGGCTATGTGTGAGATAAGAACTAAAACACACAGGGGAGGCCTCTGCTAGTGCCTTGCTCTGATTTGGCTTCAATTTCAGGAACACACATACAATATTGTCTGTGCCCATAGGGAAGTACAGCTCATCAGCTTTCAGAAGATGGAGTTGTTGGGAGTCATGGGAAGTTGTCCCTGGTATTTGAGAAAAGCTTTTGGGAGGTTGGTTTGGGGTTTTTTTTTTAGGTGTTTTTTTTTTTAGGGTTTTTTTTTTTAATGTTTGATTCTTGGCCATTTTGAGCAAAGTAAAGTTATGAAATAACTGCAAAAGACCTTTTGTGTCCAGCCACATGAGTTCTGTTCTCTCCTCCAGAGGATTCCTCTGTTTGTAATAGCTCTTTTAAGACAGTGTATAAGTTCTGCCTAGAGACTAGCTGTGGTAACAGGGAGTTGGAGCATGTCCTTAGACTACAGGAGAAAAGCATTGTGGTAACGCTTGGTAGTGCTGCATCACTTCTCAGCAAGCCCTAGTGTTTGCCTGGCAAGGCTGAGCTCATGACTACAAACAAGGCTTCTGGGCACATATCCTTTGCATGTTGAAGAAAGTTCTAAAGCTCCCCAAAGTAACAGCTCTTCCACTGCAGGCCTCACCTGCCTTCCCAAATGACTTCTGCTGGCATGTGGAGGGAGAACTGGCATGATCTGGGACTCCTCTCGCCACAGGGAGAGGTGCCCCCAGGGAGCTGAGCTGAAGCCTGTCCACCCCAGGGAACACACATTGTCCAATAGGAAGCTTATTCTCAAAGTCACCAATGGGCAGGGTTGAAGGATGCTTTGGCACAGTTACTCTGAGCTTCTGGGTCCCTTGCAACCCCAAAGCAAGAGTGTAGTAGGACAGCAGATGTGAGCTATGGTGAGCCAATTCCATCTGCCTCCTTTGGGAAAAATTGGGCTTCTTTGGGTAAGGAACCAAAGAGGAAGAGTGTGGGGTTTTACTCTCTTCCCTTTCCAAACCCACCCTCTAAGCCTGGACACTTACTTAACGATTTTACAGTTCAGACCCTACAGACACTGCTCCTAATCCTCATAACCAGAATAGCTACTTAATTCACATTGCTGAGTCACAATAATAATTATTGTGGCAATACCTGAAAGAAACCAATCCTACCCTTAACTGGGACTCTCCAACAGGAATGGAAGATACATCTGGGCCATCACAGTGTTCTCAGTGAGGCTTGGACCAGTTTTCCTTTCCCATTTTGTATTTTCTTACTCTGAATAGCTGACATGCTCAAGAAATACATTTTTCCATGTATCAGATAAGTGAGGGAGGGTGTAGCTCTAATCAAGGCTGGCTGACCTGTTGCATTGCCTGAGGGTGACTTGCATGCTCTGGAACTGGGTTTAAGCACAAGTTTTACCCATGCTCTCAGAGGCATCCTGATGGGAACAGGCAATACTGGCATGTCCAAGCCAAAGTACATTCTGAATCTAGTTATCTCCTGTAGTTTTGTGAGCTGTGATGGCATTTCATGCTAATATCCAGCTGACTTCCCCATCTTCCTTTTATCAGAGTAAGCAGAGATGCATTTTCCTTCCTTGGAAATTCCCTGCACAACATTCATCGCAAAATTAACTTTATTTTCCTTATGTCCTCTTCTCAGCAGACTGCTTCTAACCTCCTGTAAGGGGGAGAGAAGAGGAAATGGAGTGAATGGGGCAGAAACCTGAGGTCTTAGCATTGCCAGGTGTAAAAATGAAGGATATGTACATAGGGTCAGGTTGAGAAAGTGAGATTTAAGCAACCAGGATTTTTCAGGAGAGTTACAGAAGCAGGGTCCTTCTCACCAAAAGGAGAAGTTTTCCAAACAAGGCCACTCACCTCATTGAAGTGGTCCTCAAACAGGATACTCTCACCTTCAGTATGCATGATGGGAGCTGAAATAGCATGTTCCAAGTCGTAGCCAAACCACAGCTTGTTTATAATTGCCTGCAAGGAAACAAATGCCACCCTGACTACGGATATTGAATAAAAACCTGGGTCCCATTCTGCCAGCCTCTGCACTGGTGTTAGGCCAGAGCAGCTCTATTGTAAATCCTGCCTGCAGGATGGGGCAAACCTGGGCTGTAAAAGGAGCTGCACTGAACCAGGACTCAACCACCACTCAACCACGAATCCTGCTAGAATAACAGAGCACATAATGATATTTCCCAGAATGCTTTCCCTGAGCCAAAGTGCTGTCCTTGAATTCAATATCTACTGATGGATCTTATGTCTTTATACTGACAACTGTTCTTTCTGTATTCAGCTCAGGTGCTAGCAGGGACTCCTTCCCCTGCTTCTCTCCAGGTTAAGAAAGTTGAAGTAAAAACACTTCTCTTTTTCCTCTTGTGGCTTTACCTGTGTTTTCTTGATATCTGAACAAGATGTTTGTTAGACTTCAGCAGCAAAGTAATTCCTTTTGTTCAGGACAGGTTGTGCTCCCCTTGTGCAGTGGAAGGTACTCCTCTGCAGTACCTGTTCACTCACCATACTAGTAGCACTGACAATCCAGCTTCCACCTGCTCCTCCAATCACCAGCATGTCTCCTGTCTTGGAGATGAGAATGGAAGGCACCATTGCTGAGGGAGGCTTCTCTCCTAGAGCAGAAGCAGAGTATTGTTTCTCCGATGTAGCTCTTAAGGGGGCTGGAGAGACACACGAGTTTAGCTGCCCCACTCTTCTTGCATTTCCCAAGGAAATGAGCTGCTGCTCATTCCTCAAGAAGCTCAAGTCTTTCAGAGAAACAAGTGTGCTTGTGCCCAGACCCTATCTCACAGAAACTGGACCTTAATAGCACAGGCTAAATAGGCAGCACCTCTTGGTATGTATTCAATAAGACCACAGGTATTCAGGTCTTACTGCAGCATATTCAAGTCAGCTGAGGAACTGTAAGCAGCAATCCTGCCATCAGTGTTGATGTTCTCTTTCTTGGCAGACCCAGGGGATACACAGTCTGCATATCCATCTCCTGCCCTGTGTTTTATATTGGGGGTGCTAATACTCACCTGGTTTAATGCTTTTGTCTCCTATGCAGAAATCAGCAAGTTCATTGTTTAGAATGATGCCAGTTTGGTTAGAATACACAAAAGAGCCAAACCTGCAGGGGAGAGAGGAAGCCTTTCAGTGCCCGGTGCTCTGCTGTTGTGGATGACATTAACTGACCCAAGGGGCCCTGTGGGTTATCACTGTCTCTTCCCAACCCAGAATTGCCCCAGATGGGGTGTCCAAAAGGTGCTGCTGTGCCGGTGCCAGAGATGAGCTCCCTGTCACTAGTGCACACGGGGATTTGCCCAATCCACAGAAACTCCACAGAGCTCAGCAAGTTGTTACAGTATTGAGGTGATTCTCAAAGACCTTTCCTGTCATATGAAAAAGCTGTTCACAAGTGAAGACTGCCTACACCAGCGAAGCCCAAGGGCTTTGCATTTCTGGTAAACAGTCTTGCAGGTACCCCGTGAACCTGACACGTGGCCTGTGACACAATTACCAGCCCCCTGGCTACTCACGGGTAGTTGATGGTGCTGGTGGCGGACACAGCACTGCCATCTGCAGCAAGCACAGAGACGTGACTTGTGCCCTTGCTTTTGTATCTGTGGCTGTAGGTGGGCTCCAACAGGTTGTAATGGGTAAGTGGGTGGTCACCACGGGCATCTATTCGCTGTCTGGCGAGCTCAGCAAGCTCGTCAGACAGCATGCGCCCCACAGTCTTCTGCAATGACAGCAAGGACACATAGCTTGAGTCATAAAAGGACAGGCACAGGGTCTTTAGGTCTTTAGGCATAGGGAAGCCTGGGGCATTCAGCCCCAATAGTCTGAGCTTGGGGACCTGAAGCATTCAGATCCAGCCTGAATCCCCAGGCCACTCTCAACACAGAAAGCAAAGCAAGCTCAGTACTGAGGCCTGTCAACACTGGCAAGAGCATATGCACACCCCTCATCAGGCAAGTGAGCACCAGCCTATGGCTGAACAGAAACTGCAGACAGAATAAATGGCCTAATCCTGCCTCTGCCGTGGTCAACTGAGCTGCAGTGCTCTTGCCTAGCAGTTCTGAGTAGTTTCTTTCCTTCTGTGACTGCAAAGCAGGACAGCACATTGCTTGGTACTGTGTGTTGGCAGGCAGGATAGGCAGCCTGCCTGAAGCCTAAGCACATAGGCTAAAATGAGCTGGTGATGACGCAGGTTTTGAAAAAGAAAAGCAGGCGATGGGATTTCCCTGCTCCTTCTCTGTCAAGCAGCAGTGCAGAAGAAGCTGTCAGTGCTGTGGGTGTCTGTCGCTGCCCCTTTGTACCATGCCAGCTTACCAGAGCTTCAGAAAAGGCTGGGTCACGCATGCTGGATTTTAGCATGTTGCCAAACTTCAGGGCCTCTGCAATGCGATGGTAGGTTTCTACCCTCTCCTCAGGGGTTGCCAGTGATGCTTCATGGAGCTTATACTCTATAGAGCAGGATGAAATAATTTTGTTAGAGTCAAGGCAATAGGTTTTTTAAGAACTCTAAATACAAAATTGAAAGGCACCTCCTTTTGCCATCCCAGGTCTTATCAAGTTTTCCCTGTGCTTTAGCAGGATGTGGATACAGAGGCAACCTAGTACTAACTTCTGCTGTGACTTAATCCTTGAAGCCTTGGAAAAATTGTGTGTCCTCTGGCCTTTGCAGCAGCTGTGGTGATGCTGACACATGGTAAAAAGGAGCCAGTTCATCATCCCACTGTACAGCACGGTCATGCTGCTGTTTTGGACCTATTATCGCTCACCAGCTCCATTTCTGCCCAGGACTTCGCTAATGCTCTACAGCAACACTTTGCAAACCTTTTTTTATTTGCTTTCCCTTAGGACTTTACCTTCCAGTATCTTGAGGATGAGCATGAGCACAGCACCTCCCAGGGGTGGTCCAGGAGAAAACACTGTGGTGTGGTTGTTCAGGGTAATGTTCAGAGCTGAGGACAGCTCTGCTTTGTATGCCTTAAGGTCCTCCAGTGACAGGCTGGACCCTTCAACAGAAAACCAGATGGGTAGCTGTCATTAGCACATTATCTTCTACCATCTACCTACTATGGGCTGGCTACACCAGAGCCTTGGTAAAGCTTCTAAAGAACCATGCCTGTATGCTCCCAAATATCTTCCACCAAGCACAGTACTGTCTTCATGTGTCCTCACCTACCACCAAAATCCAGGACACCACAAAGCCTAAGTTGGGCAGGCCAGTGCATGAGCACTGTGGGTGAATGCCAGAGCTGTAGCTTTTAGTCCTGCTTCTATGCCCGAGTTATAAGAACTGGGGAAAGGTGGCCCCTTCCCATGCCAGCTACCATCCCAAGTGGCAAGTGAATGGCACATGTTGGCTCTCCCCTCATGCTGACTCAATGTTAGCCAGCTGCTGGGAAAACGCTTGTCTGTTAGTATTAACTACATCTGGTACCTACCAGCTTTCCTAATGTCCTCCACCAGGGCCTTTCCTATCTGTCCCTCATAAAATGCTGTAGCTCCGTTTTCTGCTACAACCCTCAGTGTCTGCTGCAGCGCTGGCCACCTGAAGGTCTCTCCATGCTTCAAAAACCTCTGACCATCACAAAGTAGTGGGCTATTAAAGAAAAACATCCATCAGTTTTCAGCACATGCTTACTCTGTCCTCAGCACCCATCCCTTTTTCCTACCCAATGATGTCTTTTAAAAACCCAGTTCTGTTCCCTCCCTTCCCATAGCAAGCATTCACTGAGCAGCAGCCTGTGCTCCAAGTCAGCATGCCAGAGGAAGGGTCTGATGCTGAGGGAGCAGTGGTCCTCACACTGCAATTTAATTTGTGGGTCTTACCACAGGCTTTTTCCTAGACTGGCAAAGGCTGGGTGATGAATAAACTTCTCCATAACTGGGGAAATGACAAGTGGCTCTGAAAGGACCTTGATGGTTGGTTCAAACAGGGCTTTCCATGGTAAGCGGCCGTATCGCTTATGGGCTGCTTCATACCCCCGGAGTTCTCCTGGCACAGCGATCCAGCTGGGACCTGAAAGCAGAGCAAGTGTCACACAGTAACAGCCCTGAGGTTTCACCTCCCTGAAAGCACTCCAAGGGAAGTGTGGATTTGTAGAGGCAACTGAGACTTCTAAAAGCAGGCCTGTTTTTTTCACTGTCGATCTTTTTCTGTTCATACATTCTTCTACTTCCTAATAGAAGGGGTATAGAGAAGCCCGAGCCTGACTCCAAGGAGCACAGTGAAAGCACAATGTTGCAGCAAGAGAAATGGGAGCTGGACATAAAAGAAACAGCACTACAAGGAGCCTGGTCAAACGCTAGAGCAAGTGAAGCTGTTAAATTGTCCATCCTTGGAAAAAGGTAAAAACTGTGACAGAACAGGGCCCTGAGCAGCCTGAGCCAGCTCTGACATCCCCCTGCTTTGAGCAGGAGATGGAGCAGAGACTGCCAACTGTCCCTTCCAACCAGAGCTGTTCCTGAGTCCTTTTCTTCTTTCAAGGAGAAGAACATCTCCTCCAGCAGCTAGGGCACACCCTGGAAGAAAATGTGCTAAGGAAGGAGAATGAATGCAGCAGGAAATGTGGAGAGATCCAAGATGTGCTGTGCAAGTGCCTGCTGCCAAACCAGTAGTAGCAGATGGACGTGGAGCTTCCTGGGATGGGAGTAAGGTGGCAAAGAGCTAGCTGAGCTAAGCTAGAGCCCAGCAGTTCCACTCCTGATGCTGCCAGGTTGCTTCCCCAATGTGAGGACATGGGCAGCCACACTAGATTGATTTTTTTCATTTCCAGAAAGTCAGAGGTGCTATTGACACAGTTTTCTCCATAGGAACTGCTGGGAAATGAGTGCTTTGGGAAAGCTGGTCTTCAAATGCAGACTTCCTATGAAGTTATAATGTTACACTCCCATTTCTCCTCCTGTGGTGCTCCCCACCCTCCCTGCTGGTCAGGTTGCCAATGCTACGTAACAGGCATTTTACGGACCTAGCATTTTTCTTACTTTTGCAAAAGTAAGGAAGGAAGACCCAGGATGTGAACAATCAATTAAACAGAGCTTCACATGGGGTCAGCAAGGTCTTAGGTGTCATTCCCCCCCCCGAGCTCTGTGACACAGCCCTCATGGCCCACTCTGTGTCCTTACCAAGAGGGAAACCAGCAGCACAGCTGGACAATAAGTTGTGCGGAAACTCTTGTGGGACCGTCTCACGGGCGTTGATCACCTCGACTGTTCCTAGGAAGGAAAGGGGGGAAATACATAACGTTGTCCTCCTGGAGCGGGTGAACATCACTTCTCAGCAAGCTGTGGGCACGGCACAGGCCACAAGGCCAGAGCCCATGGGGTTGAACTGCTCTGGAGCCCTTTGCCAATGGGCCATGCACACTGCAGGGACAGGCTGTGGTCAGCACAGTCATTTGCATCCATGATTTTAGTTACAGCACAGCAGTGCCTGCCTGGAGGCAACAAAGGTACAGGGACAAGGCCAGAGCATGTCTCCAGCCAGTTAAGGTCCTCTCAGAGCTCTTGGGCCTGAGACACAGGTTGGGATGTGCTGCTTCACATCTGATTTGCAGGTTCCTGACTTCCTCTACATGTGGGACATGTCAGACATAACGTGAGCCTTATGCTCGTTATTGGGCCATTTTGCAAGGGATGGTGAGGTACATCCATCATGTTTATAAGCAGAATGGAGACATCCAAAGATCCTCTATGTATCAGAAAGCTTGAACAGAAAAAAAACCCAATGCCCGTTGTACTTCAGGTGTTATTTCACCTCTTTCTCTGCCTTGTATTTCTGTTTTTCTACCACAGTGCACAGAGGCAGCTGTGCTGCAGGAGCCCACAGAGCTACCTAGCTTACCAAGCACCTGAGCTGTCCATGGCCATGTGCAGCTCTGTGCAGCAGGATACTACAGGTAGCAGAAAAGGACTGTTGGTAGGGGACAAAGGGACATGGATCTGCCAAAAAGGAAAAAAGAACAATACAGGTGTTTTGCCAAATGATGTTATTGTGTAAGAGCCACACAAGCACTTCCAGACCCATGAATCTGTGAGGCTCCTTGGCAGTACTTTTAAAACCACAGCACTGTTACTGTGTCCATTGTTGATTTTACTGTTTAGACCAATAATCTCGGGGGGCTTTGGGGAGCCAAGACAATTAAAAACCTCCAACATTAAAAACATAGATGCAAGATCACAAAACTAGGAGTTAAGCCAAGCACAGAAAGGCTCCCAGCAGGCCCTGACCATTGCTACATTGAGATTTCTGAAATGAGAATGCATCTCTTGGGTCAGAAAGTCACACCAATGCTTTGGGGAGTCCCACCCCCACCAGCGAGAGCAGAATGGGCCCTGAAGTCCCAGCCCAAGGGCTCAAGTGAGCCCTCAACCCCCCCACATTGCTGCACACACCTCACCCTGCTCCCACCTGCCTCCATGGAACCCCAGCAGCAGCTCAGCACCACTCACACCTTGCTGCACTGTCAGCTATATGACTTTGAAATGTAATTTAGGATTCCTTTGTGGGATAAAGCGAGGCAAAGTCAGTTCATTTTATATCCAAAGCTCCTTGCCCCCCTGCCATGTTCTTGCTGCAAAAAGAAGATGCACTCCCTGTAATGGATGTTTGGGTTAAGAAAAGTTTGTGATCAGAGAATGCAACTTTTATATTCAAAAAATTGCTCTGAGAGAACATGAAGGATTCTGACGTTTCCATGGTAGCTGTGTGTCTGCAAGGGAAACGGGGCTGGCCCATACCTTTGCTGGCATTATAGATGGTAAATACAACCCCACCACCCAGGCCTGAACTCTGAGGGTTCATCACTGAGGTGCAGATCAAGGCAGCGATGGCAGCATCCACAGCTGAGCCTCCACTTTTGAGGATGTCCCTGTGGTAAAAAGAGAGGGGAAAAGGGTAACATTAAAATCCAGGAATGACAGAATGGAGGAGCCACACGAAAATGTCTCCCTGGGGCACCTGAAAAGCAGCCCCTGCTTGACAAGAGTACCTAGCAGTTGGAGAAAGCTACTGGCAGCAGTGTGGGGGGTGAGAGCACAGGAAGGCACCTTCCCCTGTGGGAGTGAGAAATCAAAATTAGTGGAAAAGAAGGGGGAGTCCGCAGGGCTAAAGGGCAGGTAGGGGCCAGACCTGTGTGAGGCTGGTCTTCCTCTGGGCAAAGAGTAATGGGAGCGAGCTGCAGACACTCACTAATGCTGCTGTCAAAAAGAGACAGCAAGGAGCTCCCAGACGTGGAGGAGAACGCTCTCAGCAGAGGAGACAGCTTTCCACATGCTGGGACCCAAATAACTGGTTTCTAGCTCTCCAGCTACCGTTTCCAATAAAAAGGACTATGCTGGTCAAGAGGACAGGGGCACTGAAGCAGGAACTATGGGTCCATGTGAAAAGCAAACTCCTGAGACTTTACATGTGAATTAGCACAAAATTCAGGCCTCACTTCATTGCTTCTACAATGTGACTTCCTGGACTTATGTGATCTTAGCACAGACATCTCACTCCCTCCCTGTATCCCCAAAGCCAAAACAAGCATCAAAAAAACAAGTAGGAAAAGCAAACCTCAACTCTTTCTACCTAGGCACAGTCACATTAAAGAATAAACTGGCATTAAGGCAGCCTCATGAATTTGTGCTAGAGAAACATGTCTTAGCAAATACTTCCCTCAAGCACAGCTGAATCATTTCCTTGCAGTGGAAGGACATGGAATCATTTCCTTGCTGTGGAAATGAGCTGGGGTAGGGTTTCCTTGCACAGCCTGCCCATAGCCAGCACTGGTATTTGCTAGGAAGTTTTCTGACTGAATTGGGATATTACTGAGATAATGCACAGCCAGAAGGAAAAGTGGAATAGTTCATTAATTGCAGTGCAACTGTTCCCAGCAGCTGTGACAGAACACAGCATGCACATAGGGACTGCTGTTTATTTTACATCCGTTGATGCTGGTGGGACCTGCTGGGGCTGGGAACAGGATGCTGCTGGCAGGCACACTGATTGTGGCTTTCCTTTGTTTCTCTAAGTAGAGCGCCTTTGGAACCATTGCCTGTAAGGAAATGGACAAGTGGGACATCACCAGGCTTCCTGTTTGGTGTCTGCATGGCTTTTAGTCTCCAGAGATCCCTGGCTGTAGCTCTGAAAATGGAGACTGAGGCTCAGGCTCACCCATCCGTCTCCTCGAAGCAGGGGTAAGAGTCTCACCACATGAATGTCCCTGGGTGGTGTTTTCCTGAAACTGCAGCTTTTAAAATGTTAACAATAGAAGGGAAGGACACAAGGGCTTCCCTTAGGAAGTAAGTGACCCGGCAGAAGGCCCAGACAGCATGGTAAAAGTTGGGGAAACAGGACAGAAGGACCACGATGCTGGCCCAGGACAGTGCTCCGCAGAGACCCTGGCCTATGTACAAAGCCTTGTGCCTGGGAAAACCAGCGTTCTGAGGTAATTTGCAGTGAAAAAACAGCTTTCAAAAGAAATTGCAAGACTGTGTAGTATTCACTTCAATGCAATGTACGAAGCCCTTAACATGGAACATCAGACACATTTTCCCAAAGCCTGAAAAGCATCAGATGATTCTCACTCAACTTCCCAGCCACATTCCCTCTGAAGTGGGTGCCATACACAGGTCACCATGTCCCCAGCAACGCTTGTGCCTGAAGGAGGACTCCCTGATGAAGATCCTCACCCCTTCTTGTGTCATCTGCTGACGGCTGGCTAACTGCTCTGAAAGATGAGTTTTTCCCTCTCTCCCTACTGATTTGCACCAAGCCAGAATGCTCTGCACTGGAACTGCATTAACTTAGCATGTCCTAAAGGGTGGCCACAGTTACCAATTTATTAGATTAACATTCATACACTTAAATGGCCTGTTTCTGGATGATGCCGAGATATTTTTGCTTCCAAGTACTTGTTTCTAAAAGCAACGCTGTGGACTAAATAACCTTTAACTACTGCAAATGTAGTGCACACGCACAAAGCATACAAACCCGAGGGTTTCTGAGCATGACCTTCTCTATGCTCCCGACCTCCAAAACTCCCAGTTAGACACAGAGCCAGGATAACACAAGCCGTGTGAACTCCAGTTTGTAGCTGTGCCTTTGGCTCCCACTGAGATCAGGGAGGACAAATGAGGTCTAAGTCTCAGCAGAAAAGGTGTATTTACCTGCTAGAGAGAGCACAAAACCTCTCCAAGGAGCTGAGACACGGACAGTTACTGCCATTGGCAAAAGGCACACAGATTTCCTGAGAGCATCAAGGAACAAGTGGGAGGAGCACTTTCACCACACATCCTGCCTGGCACAGCGGAGGCAAAGCAAGTGTTTCTTGATAAGCAGTGATTACTCCAGGGTGTTAATCCACCCAATTGTTTTCAGAGGGGTCATGCCCCCAACACTGGCACTGTGTATTCCTCAGAAGGCTTTATTGTTCCTGCTCTGTAACCAGCACAGTGGCAACTTGATTCTTGGCTGCTGCTCCTTGGTGCTGCACCTTGCTGCAGTGAATCCCATCAGTGGGAATAAGCACTTTTCCTAAATCTCTCCCTGGACCTATGCTGGCTTTTGCTTCTGCCAGCTGGAAAACAAACAGATGCAGAGCAGTGCGTGGCAGAGCTCAAACAGCGCATCGGTAGGGAATATAAAGCTTTTTGTGTGGCTGATGGAAAAAGCTTCTTCCATTGCCAGGAGGTAAAGATGCTAAGGTAAAGGTGGGTTTGGGTACTACTCACTGCCAGGGCAATCAGCTCCTGTCTCCTCACGTCTTCTTGACATGAGGACAAAATACTGAGGCGGCCTTTCATACCAAATGCACATCCTTGTGATAAAAACTGCTCTGACTCTCCTTTTAGCCTCCAATCGCTCTTCATCAAAGAAGTGTTTCACTTCACCCAGAGACAAGTTATCTTCCAGCACAGGGCCCCTGTCTGGACCAGATAACTGCACAATATTGCTCTCAGCTCCCAGTCTCCAGTAGGAAAACCTTTCACAGCAGAAGAGCCAGCCTTGTTCAGCACTGAATATTGGGCACAGTTGGCTAAGGGCAATTCTAGAACAGGACCTGCCAACAAGCATGCTGACACACTGGAGGGTTCTTGAGATTGCTCACTTCCTGCAGAGAGCCAGAGCTGCATAAAGATTGCAGAAAGTCGAACCTTACACCATCCAGAATTTACAAACACCAGTTCCAGAGCTGGAAAACCCAAACCTGAAGATGACAGCTGAGCATAACTAAAGAAGAAGAGCACCAAACTGGGGCTGTCCCCCATCTCCTGTTTGGACTAAAGAATTACAGAGCCACACACTTCTTTTACTGACCCTTCCTTCACAGCTGAACTACCAGTAAGGGAAACACATGGGCCCTGAGGTGCTTCTCCCAAACCACCCTCCCCCTTGTTAAAAAACAGATTGCTCTTTGGGCAAGAGGTCCAGTTCTGTTATTCTCGAGAAGTTCAACTGGAAGTTCTATTAGGAGAGCACTCACAGACTCTGTCTTAAACAGCAGCATCTTAAACCAACACTGTATCATGTAATGCCCTAGGAATTTCATTGCTGTTAAAGACAACTCACAGAGCATGTGGTTTGGGTTGCTTTTTTTTTGCTTTTTTTTTCTTTTTGCCTTTTTTTGTAAAAGAAACAACATTTTTTAATTAAAGAATAAAATCTGTAAGTAGGTCAGAGACCAGGTGCTACTTTAAGCTTAGACAGTAGGTGCTGGACCAGTGCGATTTGGTTCATGCCCATCCTGCAGTGAAGGTACTCTGAGCATCCCCTGCAGATTCCTGGGATCTGGGGGGATTTGTAGGATAAAAGGGGTGACTGCAGGGTCCCAGCAGATAGAGCATCTGCAGGGTCAGCAGGGGACAGCAAGGACGAACCAGCACTGCTGGATCACCCTGTGCTGTGCCTGAAGGGACTGGCTGCAATGCCTCCTGCTCTTGCCAGCAGGCAGGCAGGCTCACAGGTTCAGTTACAACATGTGGTTTTCATTTGGTTCCAGCTTTGATAGACTGAAGCCACCAAACCTCATTTATTTCCCACAGCGCTGGAGGCCATATGCTTCCACTAAAAACACTCAGCAATTACAGAAAAAATTAGACTGAGAAAATTTGCTCATTTACCTGATTTTACTTGATTTAAGCTCCTCTAGAAAATCTGTTAGGAGGCTCTGCAGTGTGCAAGTACAAAGCCAGAGGTGTAGCTTGCCTTCAGTTCAAACGATTCACTCTAATTTAATGCACATGTGTGGTCATCAGTGGATTAACCATTTTTGGTGATTTCTAAGCAATAATAGTGGAAATGAGCCTGTTCTAATCCCCAGCTGCAGAGGCTAGCACAGCTTCCTTGAAAAAACTGCATCTGATAACAGCCATGGCTTTGGGACATGGAAAAAATGAGGAAATTCTTATCCCTGGTGTTCAGTGCTCCCCAGGCTGGTCCATGAGCAAGGAGAGTGGCCATGTCCTGTCTCAAACAGAGAGGAGGTGGGAGAGGAGTGAGGTGGCAGAGCTTTGGAGTAGGATCAGGGCAGAAGAAAGCCCATAATGTTGAGCAGTTTAGCAGTGGGGTAATGGTGCAATGGTAGGATGAGAAGACCAGAAGCAGTGACTGCACAGACTCAAACACCAACACAGGAGATGGGTACATGTGGGAAGGAGAAGTCACAGAGCTGGGGATGGAGCAGCAATGAAGCAGAAGAAAGACAGCAGCAGCAGCAAACGGCTCAGCAGAGACTCAGGAGCTGCAATACAGGTCCCAGCTCTTGTGCCATGGGGATCTCACCATTCATGATTGCTGTATAACTTCACAAATCTACAGTATTCCAAGTCCAAACAGCCAGTACAAAAATTTGCAGATTTCTGCGTAACTGCAGAAAAAGAGTGACCCAGTGCTTAGTAAGAAACAGAAAAACCCAAGATAAATCTTTTCATCTTGCTTCCTCTCTCCTAAGACTCATGGATTTGGGAGTTTAATTATATTTGAACAACAGAAGTCCACAGCACTGTTGTCATTTCAAACCCACCTGCTGAGTGGCTGCGCAGAAAGAGGCTGGGTCTATGCATCAAGGGATGCTTCACTTTGCCCAGCTCTTGCTTTTTTTCTAGCATTAAATTGCAAATGAAGTGGCAGCTCATGGGGACAACAGGGTCTAATGGCTAAGACTACTCTGAGAAAGTGGATTTTATTGCTACAACTCTGACAAAATTCCTATATGATGCTATAATCTTGTTCAGCAAAGATTAGAGAGAAGGCCACTATATGCTTCTCAGTTCCTGATGCTCCCATCCAGACCTTTGGATCAGGCTCAAGGAAGCCCTCCCCCTGCACAGTCACACAGAAGGTCAGTGCAAGAAGCACCCTGAGCAGGACAGATTGCTCTGAAAGGCAGAGACTGTGATGTGGTATCCAGAAAGTACAAGTGCCATGCTAGACTTCCTCATTTATACTTATTTATATTGCTTTGAGAACTAATTTAGTGGTGACTATCATGTGCTAATAGCTAAGAACTAAAATGCGACATACAGATCTAACAGCACAGAAATGTCTGGGAGAAATTAACAAGATCACATTGAGTACAGAGCATGTAGGAAGCTTCCTCCAGCCACTACTATGGGCCAGTAAGGACAAAGAGAAATATGCCAATGACAACAAAAAGGGCAACCATACAAAGCTTCTGACCACAAGCTCTGTTGCAGAGGAACATTTTCATAAACGAACAGTTTTATTATGGTCTATTGCAAGAACATGAGCAGATAGCTCAAGCTGGGAGATCAAGCTGGGAGAACAACACAGGAGCTTGGTTCATTCCAAGCAGAAAATGAGCACACAGGTTTCCAGGACTGGCTGCAGGCAAAGGATAGCAGGAAACGCAGCAGATAGCATGCAGCAATAGGGGAGCAGAGCTAACCACTGGGTGGTATAGAGAACCAAGGTGAATAGTGCTGGCTGGGGAGACCCAGGGGGCTTGGAAGGGCTGTGGGAGACAGCTGATACATTTGGAGCGTGATACATCAGGATGTGATGTGCAGATGCCCCAGGCTGGGGAAAAGGGGGAAAAATGTGTGATGGGAAGTTGGAGCAAGGGCAGAATTTTGTGGAGATCACTATTTGTAGGAAATCTAAGATGGTCCATCAGACTGCAGGGACACAAATGGACCTCGTCAGCAAGTGCTGGAGGCACAGATACAGCAATGGTTGAGGTACTGCAGAGAGAAGAGAAGGAAACAGATGACAGCCCAACAGCAGGAGCCAGCTAGCCAAAGCTTATCAGTTGTCCACCTGATCACAGATTTCTGTAGCTCTCACTTCAGTGCCTTCCAGCTGATTCTACAATACTTTAAGTAAATTCCAATAGCTGCAGAACAAGTGCTGTGGTTTTCCCAGCAGATTCTTTTGAGTAATTCAATAATGTATTTTCCTCTATTTCCATTAATACGGACTTAAAAGATACTTATTCTGCCCTCTGAAGAGCTAACCTATGGCTTAGCATAAATAAACCCATGTGCAGTCACGGTACATTTTCTCCAACTACTCAGAAATGCTGTGACACCACATCATTGCATGAACACACGTGTGACATGGCAAGCATGGTGTAATGGCACCATGTCTTACCTCACTCATCCAGCCACAAGGCAGAGCACACAGCTCAGAGCACACATCCATTGCTGGAGCATCCAGCATGTAGCTTGCGAAGTTCCATCCTTCTACTTTCATGCATAAAAGCATTTAAGCACTGAAGTAATTAATAACATAGGAGACAAAATGTTTGAGAGGGAGATTGCTACACTACAGCTTGCTACAGGTCTTATGACTTGCACAACTAGAGTATTTTTTAAACCTACATATTTCCTTCCAAGAGATGGAAGTATGTCTTTTGTAGTTACACTGTCTTGGCCAAATTTCAATTAAACTTGCTCTGTGCTTTCCAATACAGTGTCTTTTGTCATAGCAGACACACCTGCTGCAGGCTACAGTCCTTAAACACACACCCTAAAGGGTGGGATGCCCAGTCTCCCTTACCCTCCCAGCTGCTGCTCTCTACTTGCTTTCACTTCTTCCTTAGTTTATTCCTAAACCACTTATCTGACAGACTTACCACCATGAAGTAAACAGTTCATTTCCTGCTTTCCCACTTAAAAACAACATTGTATTTGTATATTGTAAATATTTGTACCTTCCAAAAGACCATGGGGTTGCAGTGCTGCAGATTTTTGTGACATGGGATAATGAAAATAAGCAACAATCACAGAGGCAGAGCTCCATCTGCTCTCTGAGCTGCTCCACTGCAGACGGAGAACACTGAGAGCAGCACTGTTGCTTAGCCCCAGAAGTGGGGACAGGGCAGAAACCCAGCTCACCCCCATGGTTAGTAGTGTCCTGTCAGTCCAAGACCACGACATACACAACAGATAACCCGCAAACCCAAGCGATCCATGCACATACCGGCCGATGACAGAGCAGGTCTCAGTGTCAGCAGCCACGGCGCCGTGCAGGTACTGCTGAGGACCACACCTGGGTTGAGTCAGGATGACCACAAGTGTAACAACCACAGCCAGCACCCCCAGGGTCAGCAGCACCAGACAACAGACCTTCCCCGTAGACATCTCTATTCCGATGCTGCCAGAGGCAGCTGGGAGCCTTTTACTCCTTTGTGAAGGCGCCTGCTTTGCTCAGGGTGGAAGTAGAGGATCCCGGCGGGTTTGGAGGGAGGTCCCACTGAAGTGGGCTCTGCCCTCTGCCACTGGGAATTACACTTGCTTAAAGAATAAAAGCTGCTAAAAAGGAAGCAGAGTACTCCTTCTTTCCTGCTCCCTTACACGTGAGAAACTTTTCACTCTCTTTTGTAAACTAAACTTTTTCTGGCATATCCACCACGTGTCTTTTTTTTTAAGGCTCTGATGAAAATGTTTAACACATTCACTGCTGGAGCACTTTAAAGTGAAATCTCTACATGGCTTATTGGCTTCACACAACTTCCCTGTCTTCACATCCTTACCCTTTGGTGCAGATCACCAAACAAAGGCAGCCTACATGGTGAATCACTGGGAAAACTGTATCAATCCTACACTGGGATTGCAAAGTTGGGGAATTTTCTTTCCATAAGACTACTCAGAGAAGTAAAAGCTAAATACAAAGCCATAACCTTCATATTTACTCTTATTTTACTTTACAGTTTATTATAATCTTGCTTATTTTTTTCATCACTAAATCTTGCCACTGTCCACACCATGGATCTTCTGTAAATGAACATAACAGAATACCTTGAATAAAGCAGCACACCTCGGCACAAAACATTCAGGGTAAAAACTCTGAGATCCAGTCTGTACCAGTCAGCAACCACAGCACCCAGAGAGTGAACAGCTGTTAAATAAAACCAGACCCAATTTCTAACAGAGCAACAATAAGCAGCATGTACTGCTACACAGTGCAAATGGGCCCAGTTAGCTCAAGAGCCTCTTAATTATACAGTTCTCCTTGCACTTCAAAAGCAAAAGATATGGCTTCAAATCTGCCTTCTGTCTTTCTAAAAGATGTTGTCTGAAATCTTTTTCCAGCTAGATTTGGGAGAAGGGGAATCACCTGTGCAGATTCACACTTGTATTTCACTGCAGACTGAACTTGTACTCAATAAAATTCCTCATAGCTAAGTAATACTATTTCATGTATCATATCTCAAGAACTGGCTCTAATAGACTAAACTGTCCTTTTGTAGTTATATCTTCCTGTAAGATTATGTTGGGGAGCTGAGAATGGTCCAAGAAAAATACATTGGTTTGTCTGAGATAAAACCGTGGTCCCTGGGGAATAATGTGGCTTCTCCATCTCTGTCTGACTTGGCAAATATACTTGGCATGTGCAAAAAAGCTTTCACAGCTCTAATGTGGCTCTATTTCACCTCATTGTGAAACACTGCTAATCTTGTAAAATGTCTCAATTCCTATAAGACTTCCATATTTTATTTTTGTCAAACTACTCTCTAACACTTAAAGAATCATCATTCTGGTGTTTTTTTTTTGCAGGGGAAGCTCCTCCCTTTCAATTCACATCAGTGCTGGAAACCCCAACCACTCAGTACCAGCAGACTCAAGGCTCAAGTCGATTTTACCCATTTACTTTCATCAAATGCCATGGAGAACTCAATTGCAGTCTTTTCCATCAAATTCGGGTTTCAACTCAGCACATCAAACATCTGTATCTGGAAAATCAACCCTTGTGCTGCCAAGGAGGAAACCTGGAAGAGGCAAGAAAAGAGAACATCATCTCCCAGACCATGCCTGGGAAGGCAAAGACTTGGTTATGATCTATTCTAACAGATGCTCTCACAGGCAAACTCATTTGTCTTTTAGATATATAAATGAAGACTGAGCCTCCTTATCTCTTCCAATGTGTAACCTTTACAGTCCTGTTGGTGCAACACTCACCTCTGACTGTATTATGCTACAGAGTCTACACTGACCCTTCTATGTGAGAGGCTACTTAGCTCTCTTGGAACTCGGGTATTTACTGACCCTTACAGGCCAAGATATACTCAAGGACATTTTAATTAGAATTGTGATTGTTAACAGAATCATCATTTACTAACTAATAAATAGGCACAGTATCTTTAAATTGCCCTTTATGTTGTTAGGTCCTGTAACATCTTTGTCCAAACCTTCAATCAAGAAACCAAATTTGAAAATTATTTAAAATCTGAAGTCCAGGCATTGATAACATTGTCATGAATACCACAGCTACTTCATGGAGGGTAAGAAGTCATCAAAGGATAGAAGTCCTAGGGTTTTAAGAGCAGAGGATAAATTACTACTTGAAGGAGTTGGGAAGAGATTCTCTCTGAGGGTAGATTATTGCAGAGATATTGAAGAGTCTTGACCATTGGGCTTAGTTGGTGGACAGAGTACATGGACAGTCTAATCCCATCATCTCGTGACCAAAGGGACCAGGACAGGCTTTGGAGGCATCAGGAGGTTCTCCTTCAGCTTTGCTGGGAACAGACTGCACCTTTGCTTGTTTTGGCAGCAGTGTATTGCACTAAGCCAATGTAATTTTACCTCAAATTCCAACATGTTCTTGACACAGAGCTACTACCTGTAGAACTTGATTCTCTGACATTGAAGCTGGTTTCAGAAGATGACTGGTTATCAGTCATGTTTGAGGAAAAGAAAGCTGGTTGCTGGTTGAAAACCAGCCCTCAAAACCAGCCTTAGGATCCAGCAGGTGAAGAGACAATCCCAAAGAGCACCAGCATCTACATGTGCTGCATGCATGCTTTTCATTCAACAGAATAAAGATGGAGATGCAAATCAAGGAGCCATCATCTGCAGGATTCATGACAGTCCAGGGTCCGGCTAGAGAAAACAATGTTGCTGCCTTGTCTGCAGCAAAAGAGTAGGTTTGTGGTATGAACAAACCTCCTCTTCAAGAACTGTGTTTTCTCCATGCATCCATGCTGCTTTCCAGTGTTTGAGATGAAGAAAACATCACTGGACAGAAAGCCAGACATTTGTACTCAAAGAAAAGCTGACTAAGATATTGACCCACAGTTTATCACTCTCCATCTTATCTTTTAAAAATATAAACTATACAAGAATGCTATGTACGCACCAAACTCATGAGGCATTCTCATGCTAGTGTCCTAAACCTCCTTTGCTTTTGTCTGTACAGTGTCCAAATTACATTGCAACATACTCAAGAAGATGCCTCTTGAGAGGAGAAGCAGAAACTGGTGTTTGCTTGAAAAGCATTGTCTACAGTCACCAAGCTCTTACTGTAATAAAAAAGAGCCTTTCCCAACTCTAAACCATTGGACAAGAGTCTAGGAAAGTTTCCAAGAGCATGCAACCAAAAGACAAACTGGATGTATTTCACACAGCTTGTCTCCTCCTCCAGTCTTGTTATTTATAATCCAGGAATATAGCTTTGTCTCTAGATGATAACTGAATTACAAAGAACATAGGAAACATGCTGGGAATTTACTGTTCAAATCTTCTAAGAGACATGGCTGTGAGCTCCACAGATGTTGGTGCTCATGATCCATTTGTCTCAGTACGATCCTTCAGAAACTAGAGAAACACTAACCTTTGTGCATTGTTTTCCTTTGCACACAAAGAAGTTTTCTTTATTGAGGGACACAAAACTGGTTTGTATAGTTTTCAGACATCTGGAAAAACACATACTTGGAAACCGGAAGCTCTGGTACTGAAGAATTTCTCATTCATTTCTCTTTCCTCTGTTATTTCTCAGAATTCATTATGAAAGTGAAGCACATAAACTCCTCTGCTTCTTTTATTACTGAAATCAGAAAAGGGAAACATGCTCTAAAATTACTCATGGACGTATGCTTCACTGAGATTAACATTTAAGTACCTGCTGAATGAAGGCTTTCTGGTTTTTCTTTCAATTTTAAAGCATGCCAGGGAACAACTCTCCTGGTTCTAGCTGAGAAACTTGGCAGTACTTCATCTCAGATCTTGGAAGCACACTTCTAGCTGCTGCTGTAATGGTTAAGTGCATTTCTCTTACAATCCCTAAAAGAGTTTGAGGGTGATCACAAGTAGTCCATGTGTTAGGAGCACAGCAGTTGGGCAGTGATGGATAACTTGGAGGGAGCAAATCTCTATCTTGAAGAGGACATGCATCAACAACCCAACACTACTCTGGCACTATTTTCCTCAGCCACACTAACTTTCAGTTTGCCACTGTGTGGGATCTCTGCAGGCTATGAGCATAACCAAAGGGAAAGCACTTGAACAGGACAGTCACAGAACATGCACCATTCCTCACATAACTGAAACCAAAAACGGACCCAGCTGAATCTCAGGGATTACTCCGTCTTTGTGTAATTTTCCCACGTTAAAAGCAGACCTGCTGCCTCCTCCTTCCTTTCTTGCTAGTTACAAAGTTATGGCTGAAAGAAATGCTCTGTCCAACCCAAACCTAAACATCCTCTATTTTACAATTCTATCAACGTATTGAAAGTCAACTATTTGCATGGCTCTGCTTAGCAGGACACATGGCACAGACCACTGCCCAAGGGAAACTTTTCTCCATTAACTTTATTTGATGAGCATATCTAGGCAAAGTTTACTGCACAGCATCAGCATTTTATTCTTTCTCTAACAGTGCAGCTATGCTCAATATTGTATTAACAGTGAAACCTTCTCATTCAGTCTTTAATTCTTGGGTGCTCCTCTGGAGCAAATCCAGCAGTTTTCTTAAAGACTAAACCTCATTAGTATAATTACTATAGCAGCTGAAAGTATTGACACTAGAAAACAAAAGGGAGCTTTGTGTGCATCCAAAGACATCAACAGTAAACTCTGTCTGAACTCTGTATTCACTAAATAAGGCCAAAGTATTACATTATTCATCCCAAGGGATATCTGCGGAGGCTTTTACCTCACATGAAAATACTAAACTCACAGGAAGTATTAAATAGAACGTACTTGCAGTTACATGCACCTGTACCTGTATGTAACAATATACACCTATACAGCTGCCATCATATGCTTTACAAAATCTCCATAAACCACCACCAGTGGAATAATGGTTCACTGCCATGCTCAGTTCAAGTTACCTGGATCAGGATTAGCTCACTGGGCCCTGTACAGCCTTTCGAAGGCCTTTGATCTGCACAGAGCACAGCACAAGGCAGCAGGAGCCAGGCCATGAGCCACAACATGCTCACACTGCAAGCCTGGCCAGCAGATACTGGACTCCTTGAGATGTGTGGTCAAAACATCAGTGGAAGTTACTATCTTTTTGAGGCAGCACCTGAAATACTGCATCTGTCGTAAGAGCTCAGCCCTGAGAGCTCAGGAGGACATGAACAAAAGGAGCTTGTTAAAAGTCAAATTCCTGGTGAGA